AAGGAAGGAAGGAAGGAAGGAAGGAAGGAAGGAAGGAAGGAAGGAAGGGAAAGGGAAAGGGAAAGGGAAGGAAAGGAAAGGAAAGGAAAGGAAAGGAAAGAAGGGAGGGAGGGAGGGAGGGAGGGAGGGAAAATAAGTAAAAAGTTTATTCAATTAATATTTATTGAATCTCTGCCACATGCCAAGCCCATGCTAATTTCTAGAGATACAATGATGAATTTGCTCACACATAGTCTTTGCCCTTCAGAAACTGGTAATTTAATGGTAGAGAGACACAAAATAGGAAAGTATAATATCTTATTGTAGTAATGGAGATGTGAATAGGTTATTCAAGAACTCACAAGAGGGGCCTGTCAAACTGGCTTCCCTAAGGTGATGCCCAAAGTGAGCTTAAGGAATGAGTAAAGGTAGCCAAGTTAGCCAAGAGGGATGGGATAGGAAGAACATTCTAGGTGAGAACAAAAACACATACGTCATGGTGGTCAAAGAGCAGACATAGAGGAAAGTAGAAAAGAGAGATGAGGCTTGAGGAGTAGACTTGTGGGGAGATGAGTTCTGTTTGTGGCACATGGAGTCTGAGGCACCCCAGTGAAAATTTAGCAGGAAGCATATGGGGCTGACTTATATGGATGATCCAGGATGGAGATATAGGTTTGAGAAGTGGGAAGTCATAGTTGAATGTGTGAGTATCCATTCAATCATCTAGGAAGTATGTTCTGATTGAGGAGACCTCATGTTTGGGACTGTAATGCAAATAAAAGTTGACATTTAAAGGATTGACAGTGGAAAGTCAGCTCAAGAAGGATGGAGGATAGGAGCAAACGTGAGAATTTCCATGAAATTCTACTGGCATCATGGAAACTCAAGGAGTAGAATTTTTATCAAGGTGGGATTTATGGAGACACATGGCTTTGCTATTCGGGCAAGGTAAGGAGTAAAAAGACAAAGGCATTAGAGACAACAGCATAAACGATTTTGATTAATAGAGAGGATGTAAAAAGTGGTTTTAAGAGGAATTAAGTAGAAAATATATGTCTACTCAAGAGAAATCTGAATGAGAAGAAAAGAGAGGCTGGCTTATAGCTAGAAAGATATAGGAGTCAAAGGATAATGTTGAGGAGGAGGAGGAGGAGGAGGAGGAGGAGGATGGTGGTGGTTGTGGTGGTGAAGTGTTTTGAGATTGTAAGAGAAGAGACTTCAGTACATTTCTAAATTGAAAAGGGAAAGCTAGTAGAAAGTCTGGAAACATGGGAGAGATGTGACATGACACATGGAGGGAATTTTAAGGGGGGGGGACATCTCATGCATTGACATTGCAGAGGTATGGAGGGTGCTCTCGTATGATAGTCTCACATTTTTTGTGATGTAGGAGACGAGGTCCATAGATAACTTGGTCTACTGGAACTAATACTCTGCCTGAATTCCCTTATTTCAGATTCCCTCTTCCTTTTGTCAGCAAACGATTGACTCTCCCTCAGACCTGCTGTCTGTGTCCTGCAGAAATCTTGTACATACACTATGGGAAGTGGTACCTCAACCCAACATCATTTTGCTTTCCAGAATGCAGAGAAAGGTATGTGTTTCCCACCTCTCAAACTAGCTGTGGGTATCCCAAAACATTGAATGGGGAGGGGTTTCTCAGAATAGAATAAGGAAACCATTATATTTGTCCTTAGGCAACTCTTGAAAATCAGCTTCTCCTCCTTGTGATGAGATCATGAGAATATCAGCTGAATATCTTGGGATTTGGCGAACTATATTTGACCTGAAGGAATCAGTGTTGTCCACAAGGGTTTATCTCAAATTATACATGTACAAGCGAATGAAATAAAGTTCGGCAAAAAGCAGATGAAAGAGCATTTCAGGCAGAGGATCCAGTATGTACAAAGATCATGAGGTAGAAAGAAGTGAGACATGTTTGAGGAACTGAATTGTCTGAAGTGAACAAGATGGAGAATGGCTTAACATGAGGCTGCCGAGGTAGGCAAAGCCCCAATCACTCAGTGCCTCTAGGATTTTAAATATTTTCTTAAGGAAATGAAGAACCATTGACAAATTCAAAATAGGGAGTTTATAGTAAGATTTATATATCAAAAGACCTCTGGCTTCTGTGAAGAAGGAAGGAGGGAGTAAAAGTAGAAGAAGGAACAGTCTAGAAGCTACTGAAGTCATCAAAGTAAGAAATGATGATGCCTTGGTCCAGAGTTGTTGGCAGCAGAGATGGAGAGAAGAAGGTGAATTCTAGCAATATTCAGAAGGTGGAATTGACAGGATCCAAATATGTGGATGGGGGGAGTGAGGGAGAAGGGTGGATCAAGAATGACTTCCAGTTTTCTGGCCAGCAAAACTGGGCAGGTAATAATGCCAATTACTGACGTAAAGATAGTGAAGAACCAACTTTGACTAGAGGGAAGATGGTGAGTTTATACATGCTGGGGTTGAGGTAGCTGTGAGATATGCAGGTAGAAGGACTGAGTAGGCAGTTGTGTATTCACATCTGGATTTTGGAGGTGAGGTTGAGCTGGAAAGATAAACATTAGAAGGCATCAGACTGTTATTTGGTGGTTGAGGCCATGAGGGCTTCTGAAGTAGCCTAGAGTGTGAGTAAAGATGGATCGGGGGGGCACCTGGGTGGCTCAGTCATTTAAGCGTCCGACTTCGGCTCAGGTCATGATCTCATGGTTCGTGGGTTCAAGCCCCACATCGGGCTCTGTGCTGAGGAATAGCTCAGAGCCTGGAGCCTGTTTCAGATTCTGTGTCTCCCTCTCTCTCTGACCTTCCCCTGCTCACGCTGTCTCTATCTCAAAAATAAATAAAACATTAAAAAAAAAAAAAAAGATGGATCAGGGACCAGGGCCTAGGACAGAGCCACGAAGGACTCCAGGGCTTAAGCACCAGGTAGAAGAGGATAAACTGAAGAGAGGCAGCCAAAGATGTAGCCAAAGGAAAGCAAAGGAAATCATGATGACACTTGTTTATATGGGCTGAACCATGTTTGTAAGCTCGTGGCTTCCTTGCTTTCTAGTTTGGCAATATGGCCCAGGCTCATCTTGCACATTTTTTGGCCCTGGAGTAACTCCTTCTTTAGGGTGTGGGGTGTCTCCATGCTTCCAGGTTGGCTTACATCTTTCTATAACTTTTCAGAAATATGTATTATTTAGAGAAAAAAAAAACCAGCATGACATTTATATTTAGGAACACAATATTTTTACTTAACAACCTTGATATTGTATATCTGTCTCTTTATCAAAAATCTTTTTTCCATGGGGCTCCCGGGTGGCTCAGTCGGTTAAGCATCTGACTTCAGCTCAGGTCATGATCTTGCAGTTTGTGAGTTCAAGCCCCACATTGGGCTCTGTGCTGAGCATCCAGAGCCTGGAGCCTGCTTCAGATTCTGTGCCTCTCTGTCCCCCCCAATCCCTCCTCAAAAATAAACATTAAATTTTTAAGAAATCTTTTCTCTCTAACATTAAAATTGTATTATTTACTTTATCCTATAATATACAAATAATAGTTTCAGGATAATAACAATATTATTATAAACAATGTGATTACTAAAAATTCTTTTTTTTTAATGTTTATTTTTGAGAGAGAGAGAGTGCGAGCAAGGGTGGGGCAGAAAGGAGGGGGACAGAGGATCCTCCACTCTGTGCTGACAGCGGCAAGCCCAATATGGGGCTGGAACTCGTGAACTGTGAGATCATGAGCTGAGCCAAAGTCAGATGCTCAACTTACTGAGCCACCCAGGTGCCCCTGAAAATTCCTTAAGATTTTTTTGTAGTTCATTTTGTCCTTTGGATATATCCACGAGGATGTACAAATTACTGAATTCTCAAGTCATTTGAAATAACTCCTTTCTGTGTTTCTAACTTATATAAGGTTAGATTCACCTGTTTAGGTTTTGCATTTAATCTTTGGAGGCTGATTTATTATTTTGTTTTAAATTTGTTTTATAACTTTTTAAAGCATTTATACAATTGCTGTCCCAATTATCTACTGCTGCATAACAAATGATCCCAGAATTTAGTGGCTGGAAACAACCATTTTATCTGCTCATAATTTTGTGGGTTAGGAATTTGCAAAGTGTCCAGCTGGGTGATTTTCCCATGATTCTCTGGGTGGCTGGAGATGGAGGCTCTATTTCTTTTTAAAAATTTTTCAAAACTTTATTTTTAAAGTAGTCTCTACACCCAATGTGGGGCTTGAACTCACAACCCAAAATCAAGAGTTGCATGGTGTACTGACTGAGCCAGCCAGGTACCCCTGGAGGTTCTATTTCTTTCTTTTTGTTTTTTTGTTTTTTTTTTTTTTCAATTTATTTATTTTGGGAGAGAGAGGGAGAGAGAGAGAGCAGGGGAGGGGCAGAGAAAGAGAGAGGATCCCAAGCAGGCTCCACACTTTTAATGTAGAGCCTGATGCAGGGCTCCACCTCACAAACCACAGGATCATGATCTGAGCTGAGATCAAGAGCCAGATGCTTAAACGACTCAGCTTCCCAGGTGCCCCAAGGAGGTTCTACTTCTTTTTTTTTTTTTTTATAAAATTTTTTTTATAGTTTATTTATTTTTGAGACAGAGAGAGACAGAACATGAGTGGGGGAAGGGCAGAGAGAGAGGAAGACACAGAATCCGAAACAGGCTCCAGGCTCCGAGCTGTCAGCACAGAGCCCGATGCGGGGCTCGAACCCTAGAACCATGAGATCTGACCTGAGCCAAAGTTGGACGCTTAGCCAACTGAGCCACCCAGGCACCCCAAGGAGGTTCTACTTCTAAGACAGCTCTTGATTCACTATCTGGTGCCTTGGTGCCCTTTGACCTTTCTCTCTCCATGTAGTTGCCTTGTTCTTAATAGGGGGTTTTTACAGGCAGGTGTATTTGTAACTTGTACCCTCAGATCTAGTCTACACCAAGCTGGAGCAAGGGGAGCCCAAGCATGCTGTATTGTGCTGTTGGAAAGGAGAGGGGTAGAGGGTCTTAGACTATCCTGCACCTCTCAGGTGCCATCTCTGTTAAAGGCAACCCAGATCCCTACAGGACTGAGAGAGAGAAAAGGAGTGAGGAAGAGGCACTGCGTGTCCTCCCTGCCCTAAGGAGTCAAGCCAGACTGAGGATAGAAGTATGTCTAGCTGGCAGCCTTTGCCTTTAAATGTTGAAGCAAGGTGTGAGCAAACAACAATTGCACAGAACCTTGGTGGCCATGATACCCCTCAGTATTGCTTACCCTTCACTGAATGTAAGAATCATGTATGGAGCTTGTTAAACCTGAAGATCCCTGTAGAAATTCTAATGCTGTAGGTCTAGGGCAAGCAAGGGCCATGGATCTGTGCTTCCCAGTAGTTCCTGGAGGGTCTGCAGCTCTTGCTCTGGACATTTCATTCATGGTTCTGAACGTGGATTTACAGAATTGAATCAGTAGAGCTTTAGCCTCATCACTTAGCATTTGGTAAGTGCCTTTGACAAACAGCTACTGTTTGACATTTTTTATCATAGGAAATCAAATTCAGCTTTGCTTAAGTTCCTCCCTGGTTCTCTTTTCTCACTCTATCATCAACTTTCCTCATAAGGAAATCAGCCGGAATTCTATTAGCTCTCTAATGCAAGCTAAATATATTAAATCAATCTGTCTACTGTTCACGAGGTTGACCTGAATTAACCTTCAGGGTTTCCTTTTTAATCCTGCTTTATCCACATGCTCCATTCATCACCAGTGGCACATTCAGGCCCAGGAGCTTAAGAAGTGTCTAGTTATTTATGTGAACAGCTGTTCTCATCTCTGGCATCAGGACTTGACTGCGGGTCCTATAGCTCTTAGGAGGAAGTAAATCTACTCACGCCACCTTGTGGAACACGGTCACCTAGCACGGGTCCTGACAAAAAGAGAAGGCCAAAGACAGCCTGCAGATTTGATAGCAGGTGATGGGGGACACTTAAAGCCCGCAGGGCTGTCACAAGTATGGGGATAGCAAGCACAGAACCCAGCAAGCACTTACTGCCACCTGACATTATATGTAGCAATTTGTGTTTGCCTATTGTTTGTTTTCCCCAGTCATGTAGAGTCCATCCCCTTCTCAGATGAGGACATTGAGGCCCAGGAAGGTAATTCACCTGAGGCCACATAGCTGGTCAGGGCATTTCCAGGCCTAGACCCCAGGTATTTTGATATCCAGTCCTTTGTTAGAATGTCAAAATGTCCTCTGCACCCTCTATCCCTGTATTATCCCACCCGTCAAGTATGCCTCATGCAACCTGTCCAGTTTACATCTCTTGACAATCCCGGCAATTCAGTGTTTCCTCTCACACATAGAGTTTTCAGCAGCAAGTAGGAGTTCCAGGAAGCCTGAAGTCATATTAGTATAACCACTAGGTAAGAATGAAGGTGGGGGGGGGGGCGGTGAGTAGGAACAAGAGCACTCCAGCCAACGGTGAGGCAAATCCTACCAGCAGCAGTGGGTAGTGCTGTCCCGCCATCTTGTCCCCAAATTACTATAGGAGGGGTGCCCTTCACCTCTGCCCTGGCCCAGGGAGTCCCAACTCACAGGCTTGCTTCTCCATCTGTGTCACAGCCTTCAAGGCGGCAGCCCTGATCCAGAGATGGTACCGGCGCTACACGGCTCGCCTGGAGATGAGGCGGCAGTGCACTTGGCGCATCTTCCAGTCTATAGAGTATGCCGGACAGCAAGACCAGGTCAAGGTGCGGCTGGGTGTGGGCCTGAATCTCCTCCGGCTCTGCCTTCCAGCGCATGGGTGGCAAGGGCCAGGTGCCCAGAGTGTGCGGCTGACCCGGACCCCTCCTGGTTCTCTCTGCACCCATCTCTAAAGCCAAGTCTTCGATTCTTCTGCAGCTCCATGATTTCTTCAGCTACCTTGTGGATCACTTCACCCCCAGCAGCAACCATGAGAGTGCGTATGAGCTGCCATATGGGAGGGTCTCAGGGTTGTAGATACCAGACTGATTAGGGGAGACATAGGGGCAGAGATCCGGTGACGGCCAGGGAATGAGCCAGGAGGCTGACTCGCAGTTCTCCCAGAATCACACCTGGAGACAAGAATCCGAGTGCAAGGAGTTTATTTGTTAAGTACAGGAAAACAGTTGGGGGCTAGGGAGGGCCTGGGGAAGGAATTCAGGGAGGAGAAGGCAGCTCAAAAAGGGGTGGGGGTGGCTCTAAGCCAGCAACCAAACGTGTCTGGGAAGTAGTGCAGAACACTTGCCTTGGAATGATCCCATCTGAAGGCAGAGAGAACTAAAGTCTTCCTATGACAACTCCTGAAGCTCTCATTAGTTGAAGGCTGCAGAGAGGGATGGACAGGAAGGGTTGTTAAGGCTGCAGCATTTCCGGCCTGTCAAGTAGGGCCCTCTGTGGACCCAGGAAGAAAGCTCCCAGGCCAGAGATGCAGAGGCTGATAGTTGGCCATTGCTTGAGGGGCCTTGAAATGTCTGATGGCTTCTGGCACACTCACTGACAGCACCAGAAATGCCTGTGAGCTTTTTTGTTCCACCAAGGTTTTCCCCTTTCCTTCTGCTTATAAGCCTCAGCTGCTAAATTTCTGTTCTTTCTAACTCTGACAAATCTTTTAAAATAAAAGTAAAATTAGGGGCACCTGGGTGGCTCAGTCGGTTAAGCATCTGACTCTTGATCTCAGCTCGGGTCCTAATCTCAGGGTCATGAGTTCAAGCCCTGCTCTGGACTTAGCACTGGACATGAAGCCTACTTACAAAGTAAAACAAAATAAAAGTAAAATGGAGTTGACATAAAAACGTAACATTTTCCTCCTGCCTATCTTAGTCTGCTGTCACTTTCCCTTTCCTTTCTCTTCTCTGTTAGTGGAGCTGAGACCAGACTGGCCAGCTCCACTTTAAGTATGGTCCAGTTTGGGGTGTCTGGGCAGCTCAGTCTGTTAAGCGTCTGACTCTTGGTTTCAGCTCAGGTCTTGATTTCACAGTTTGTGAGTTCAGCCCTGAGTCAGGCTCTGTACTGACAGGACAGAGCCTGCTTAGGGTTCTCTCTTTCCCTCCCCCCACTCAAAAAAGTAATGATCCAGGGACCCCACATCTGAACATAAGCTGTCCTGCCCTTTCTGTCCTGACCAGGAGACTTCCTAGACCGCATGTTCACTGAGGAGAGATTCCCCCAGAACTCTGAGATGGAGAAATTCAGTGACTATGAATCTATACAAGTCCCGGACAATTACACGGGGCCACGCCTCTCCTTCCCACTCCTTCCTGACCACGCAACGGCCCTGGTGGAAGCTTTCAGACTGAAACAAGTAAGCTCCCCCTGGGAAATCTGGGTCACCACCAACTCAGTGGAATGTGGGGAGGAAGACCAGACCCAACACAGAAGGAATAGCCCTGGATTTAGGGTGTTAGCGTCATGGATCTACTAGAGAGATTCCATGTATCCTTTCCTTTGCCAGGACCTTATAGTCAATAAGCCAGTTTTTATGCACTGAAAACTTCTCCTCATCGTGTAATATTTCTTAGTCCATTCATCCCACAGATAATTACTGAGCACTGCTATGTGCAGACACTGTTCTGGGCACTGGGGATACAACAATGAGCAAGACAGACTCCAATTCCTGCTCTCACAGGGCTAACATTCTAGAGGAGAGACAGACAGTAGATAATAAATAACAGCAAATAAGCAGATTCCACAGTATATTAGAAGGAGATAAGCACTATGTAAAAGAATAAACTAAGTTCTGGGTAGGAGAGATGGCAATTTATAGAGTGGTCTTAGAAAGCTCCATGGATAAGGTGATTTCTGAGCAAAGGTTGAAGGTGGTGAGGAAACGCCCTGTGTGGATGCCTCCAGAAAACTGTTCCAGGCAGAGGGAACAAATGCAATGGCCATGAGGCAGGACCTTGCCTGGATGACTCAGGGACCTCAGGCAGGCCATTGTGACTGGTGAGGAGGAGGTCGGGGAGAGTGTTAGGGGATAGAGGCAAAGAGAAGGGTGGGTGGACTTTTAGTCTTCTCAAAGAGATGGGGAGACATTGGGCATAGGAATCATATAATCTGGCTTGCTTTTTAAAATAATCATTCTATTTTCTGAATAGAACATAGGGAGCGAGGTCTGAAGCAGGGAGACCAGTCAAGGTCCTGCAGCAGTCCAGGCAAAACCTGACGGTGGCTTTAAACCCTAGGGGTAGAGGCAGAGGTGGTGAGAAGGGGTCAGATTTTGGTTCTATGCCAGATTCCAGCCCTTCGTCTTTTTCATAGGAAGTTAATTCACTGCAGGAGGAGTGAAGCTGAAGGCAAGGAAGGGAAGAGGAAATTAGTTCAATATTGGGGGGTGTTGAAAAGCAGAAACAAGGGCAGAAGATGAGTGAAAAAGGATCCATGCATACGGTCGCAGGGGCAGTTTACCAGGGTCACTTCTTGGGGTCTCGAGTGATTGGGGTCATGAAGCAGTAAAGGCGAGTCCCATTTTGTGGCACAAATACCAGTGCTGTTTTGTTCCCTCCTTCCTCTTCCTCCTAGTAGCAGCTCCATGCTCGCTATGTCTTGAATCTCTTGCACGAAACCAAAAAACACCTGATACAACTGCCAAACATCAACCGGGTCTCCACCTGTTACAGCGAGGAGGTCACAGTGTGCGGTAAGAGCCCGTCAGAAATGGCTTCCCACGCTAGACACAAACAGGAAAACTCCTGTGATGGGGAAGAGGAAGGGCGGGGCTCAGGAGAGGGACTCTTGCTGAGTACTTTCTTATTCTCTCCACGATTACTGAAGTAGAGGCAGTGCAGTGGAGGATTATGGGGCAAGAGGGCCCAGACTCTCCTTTAATTTTTTTTACAAATAGTTTATTGTCAAGTTTGTTTCCATATAACACCCAGTGTTCATCCCCACAAGGGCCCCCCTCCATGCCCATCAGCCCCCTTCCCCCCCACATCCATCAGTCCTCAGTTTATTCTCAGCATTCAAGAGTCTCTAATGGTTTGCCTCCCTCCACCTCCCCCACCATTTCCCCCCTTCTTCTCCCCAGCAGCCCTCCCTTAAGTTCCTCCTAATCCTCCTATATGTGCAAACATATGGTATTTCCAGACTCTGCTTTATTTCCCCAAGCAATTCAGATTTGACCCCAGACTCATGCTCTCATTCAGGACACAATCCCTGCAAATACCCAGATTCTCCCTTGACAGAAAACAGTTTATTTCTTGTTACTTGAGCAGGCCCTAATGCCTAGCAAATTATTCCTTCCATCCACATATATTCTTCTTTCAGAGAGAAATAGTGCCCATAATGATTCCTTCCATAGCCTTATATTTTTAGTAAAGTTTAAACGTCAGTTACAGGGGCGCCTGGGTGGCTCAATTGGTTAAGCGTCCAACTTTTGATTTCAGCTCACATCATGATCTCATGGTTTGTGAATTTGAGCCTTGCATCAGGCTCTGTGCTGTCAAGTGCTTGGGATTCCCCACCTCCCACCCCTCCCTGCTCTCTCTCAAAACAAATAGATTTAATTTAATTAAAAAAATAGATATCTGTTACAGACTGAGGTCCCACATCTTAACTTAGGGGGTGCAGACTGTCTCACAGTGGGGATTGTAAACTGGCACCTCGAGGGCCATGTGCAACCTGCAGCTAGGTCTTGTTTGCTGTGAAATTATCTTAAATTTGTGTTTATTTTATTTTTTAAATTATCTTTTAAAGGTTTATTTATTTATTTTGAGAGAGAGAGAGAGAGAGAGAGAGAATCCCAAGAAGGCCCCAAGCCATCAGCACAGAGCCCAACATGGGACTCGATCTCAGGAACCTGAGATTATGACCTGAGCTGAAACCAAGAGTCAGTTGCTTAACTGACTGAGCCACCAAGATGCCTCTTAAATTTTTAAAATTATTTTTTTATTATGATATTTTTTAAAAATTCAAGTTAGTTAACATACAGTGTAGTCTTGGCTTCAGGAATAGAACCCAGTGATTTATCTCTTAGATATTATACCCAGTGCTCATCCTGAAAAGTGCCCTTCTTAATGCTCATCACCCATTTAGCCCATCCCTTCCCACCCTCTCCAGCAACCCTCAGTTTGTTCTCTGTATTTAAGAGTCTCTTGTGATTTGCCTTCCTCTCTGTTTTTATCTCATTTTTGCTTCCCTTCCCCATTCATCTGTTGTGTTTCTCAAATTATACGTATGAGTGAAATCATATGGTATCTGTCTTTCTCTGACTGACTTACTTCGCTTAGTATAATACAGTCTAGTTCCATCCACATTGTTGCAAATGGCAAGATTTCATTCCTTTTCATTGCCAAGTAGTATTTCATTGTGTATATATACCACATCTTCTTTATCTATTCATCAGTCAGTGGACATTTGGGCTCTTTCCATAATTTGGCTCTTGTTGATAACACTGCTATAAACATTGGGATGCATGTGCCCCTTTGAATCAGTATTTTTGTATCCTTTGGATATATGCCTAGTATGTATCATCTATATCTCTTGAAAAATTTCCTAATGCTGGCCCATAAGTGAACAGAAGCTTCCTACTTCAGATGGGACAAAATCTCTCCAGTTCTCACTTGAGTTTGCATCCCTGCATTATTCTGTCCTACTTTTGCTTCATTTACTGTTTATGATAATTATGTAGGGAAAAGATATTGTGTTTTCTTCTTTCAATATTAGCTATCCTTGCAATGAGGGGAATTACTATTTATCCCTATCTTACATATGGAAAAATGAGTAACCATAACTTTGTCAAATTTTTCTGGATATTTTCCTTTTTATGGTAAAATGAGACATAGTGGTAAGGGCCAGTAGAAACTAATATTCTTTTTCTGTCTTTGTTAGGAGATTTACATGGCCAGTTGGATGACTTAATATTTATATTTTATAAGGTATGAATGTTTAAGATACTGTCTTGCTCTGAGGCTTATTTTGGAACTCGTATACAAACAATTGCTACATATTGCTTGGATCTTTAAAATATTACGTTATTTTTTATTTTTTCAATTTTCTTTTATGTTTAATTATTTTTGAGAGAGGGAGACAGAGTGTGAATGGGGGAGAGGCAGAGAGAGAAGGAGACACAAAATGCAAAGCAGGCTTCAGGCTCCGAGCTGTCAGCACAGAGCCCAACGTAGGGCTCAAACTTCTGAACCGTGAGATCATGACCTGAGCCAAAGTTTGATGCTTAACAGACTGAGCCATCCAGCCACCCCAAAGTATTACTTTAAATTATTAAAAAATGACACATAGTAGCAAATATATAATGATATAAAAGCCAGTACCATATTATATTTTAGTATATTTTTGTAAACTGTTTTAAAAGTCTGAGGCTAGTAAAGAGAAAGAATCCTTACTTAGTGATTTTCTTTTTTCCAAATAAAATTGTTGATTATCAAAGCAACTGACAGCTATTTTCCTATCCATTTTAGTTATAAAATGTAGAACTTGTAACAAAATACAAGACTGTCCTATTAATGTAATGTTACTTTACATATATACTGTGCTTCCCAAAGCATTCTCCAATCTATTGTCTCCTTTACTCCTGAGGAACCTGACAGCTATTCTTATTATTACTAAAGATATTGTGGCCAGAACTTAAAAGTGGCCTTCGGATCACAAGTTTGGTGTCCTTTGCACATACCACATGACAACCCTCTGGCTTTGTAGAAAGCACTTGTTTTAATGAGCACACCAGAAGGAAATATAAGACCAATAAAAAAAAATACTTCCATCTTTTATTAATTCACATTTGGAGGAGAGCCAGAAAACACGGAATTGGTATTCGATCTGATGTAACTGTCAAATGCCCATTGGCTTGACCTGATTTTCTATTCCCTTCCTTTGTTGCCACTTCTTGGACTTGTCTTCTTTTTGGGAAAGAATGGCCTCCCATCACCTGAGAGAGCCTACGTCTTCAATGGTGACTTCGTTGACCGAGGCAAGGATTCAGTAGAGATCCTGATGGTTCTTTTTGCCTTCATGTTGGTTTACCCCAAAGAGTTCCATCTTAACCGAGGAAACCATGAGGACCATTTGGTGAACTTACGGTAACAAACTTAATGCGCTTGGGTTCTTGATGTTTACGTGTTGTGATTGTAAAAAATTATTTTGCCGGAACTTCTATATGTTAGATACCTTTTAAAAGTACTTTTCCAATTTTATAAAGGAATACACAATATATAACGTTGAAAATATTTCTTAAAAACCTACACATTATCCTACTTCCAATAAAACCATTCAAGTTTTTTCCACATATCCATACTCTTTATCATACAAATAATAAAACTCACTACAGAAAAACTAAGAAATACAGATAAACAAAAGGAAGAACATTAAAATATCCCATAATTTCTTGACCCAGTGTTAATGCTATAATTGTAAACATTTAGCAAGTATTCCTCAGTCTCTTTTCTATGTATTTGAGTAGATGTACACAGTATCTGAATTTTTATAAAAATTCAATTATACCATAACTGTTATCATTAAATTTAATATCTATTTTTGCTTCTAAATCTAGATATGGCTTTACCAAGGAAGTGATGCATAAATATAAGGTAGGCTGCCTTTAAGAGCAAAAGTTTCTCTTAGTTCAAATAAGTTAAGTATATCCTTTGAAAATTACTGTCTTCTTAATATCATTTTCCAGACACATGGGAAGAAAATACTAAAAATACTGCAAGATGTTTTCTGTTGGCTTCCTCTGGCCACTCTGGTTGATGAGAAGGTCCTGATTCTTCATGGCGGAGTGTCAGACATGACCGACCTGGAGCTCTTAGCTAAACTAGACAGGCACAAGGTACTGGCCAAGCAATGAAATAGTGCATAGTTCACCATTATTTAACCCAGTTCATAATCATTTAACCCAGTCACCAACTGCATAACGTAAATGTCATTTTGCATGCTGACTTCAGGTGACTAATAAGGGCTGTTAAGAGAAGCCATTAGGGGCGCCTCAGTGACTCAGTTGGTTAAGTGTCTGACTTTGGCTCAGGTCATGATCTCACAGTTTGCGGGTCCGAGCCCTGCATCAAGCTCTGTGCTGACAGCTTGGAGCCTGGAGCCTGCTTCGAATTCTGTGTCTCCTTCTCTCTCTCTGCCCATACCCTGCTTACGCTCTCTCTCTCTCTCAAAAATCAATAAACATTAAAAGATTACAAAAAAGAGAGAGAAGCCATTAAACCATTAAAAGGAGAAAGATTAAAAATCCACATCTGGGGGTTTCGGGTGGCTTAGTTGGTTGCATGTCAGACTTGATTTCCACTCGGGTCATGATCTTATGGTTCATGAGTTCGAGCCCCATGTCAGGCTCTGTGCTGAAAATGTGGAGCTGCTTGGTATCCTCTGTCTCCCTCTCTCTCTCTCCCTCTCTCTCTCTCTCTGCCTATTTCTTGCTTGTGTTCTCTCTCCCAAAATAAATAAATAAACATAAAAAAAAAAAAGAATATACATCTGAACTCAAGGAACAAGTGTGTGGCAGCTAGAGCCATCTATTTGCTGTCCCCGATCTAGACAATTATAATAAATACCCCCCAATCACTGTACCTGAAGAGCCTCTACCTCTCAAATAATTCAGTTGAACTCAACAAATGTATTGAGTGCCTACTTCATGCAGGGAGGATGCTATTGGCAGATAGAAAAATGACAATCAATTTTGAATTAAACTCAACAACTACATTTAAAGTGCTTATTATGTGCAAAGAAGTGGGAGGAGAGATACAAAGAGAACCAGAGAGGCTGCCTGCCATAAAGGAATTTATAATAACCAGTAGGAGGACAGAGTGAGAGACAGAATGCATTGCACTCCAATGTTAAAACGTGTCTATTTTCAATTTCAGTTTGGAAGTAAAAATTTAGAAAACAAAGATTCTATTTCCTTTTAATCATAGGCTCTTACACGTGCATGGTGTCTTATGGCTTCTATACTGTCAACTGCCCCTTTCAAAACACAGGAACCCCTACTACAACATCCTGACAACATTCATCTGAGCAATTACTGTACAAGCTAGAGTGCTCTGGACAACTCTAATTAACATACAGGTTTATGTGATGTGAGACATAAGTGAAAAAGCATGGCTTTGGAATCAGACAGACCTGGATTTAAATCTGGGAACATGCCGTACTTGGCTGGTATGGCAGCTGTGTTTTACTAGGTTATCCAAGAACCAAGCCTTCTTATGTCTTGTTACTCTGCTGTCCTTAGTGTATCTTTCCCGAGCCCTCATCTGTATAGGTCAAGATAGCCTGCCACCACATATGTGTTCCAAGCAACAGGACAGAGGGAGGGAGAGGGGAAGAATATCCCTGCCCTTTAAAGACACAGCGAAGAAGTGTATTCATCTCTTCTGCTCTCATCCCATCGTTCAGAAAGTAGTTACATGACTGCTCCTTGCTGGAAGGGAGGCCAGAAATGCAGTCTTCTGTCTGGTTGGCCACATGCCTTGTACAAAAGTTAGGGTTTCCATTCCTATGGCAAAGAAGGGGAAAAGAGATGTGGAGAAACGGTAGTCTCTGCCACACAGATACTGAAGGATGGAAGTGTGTTCTTTTTTCCTCGAGTAGGCATGGTGGGTGGTTGGATAGGATAGAAGTGGATAAAAATTCTGTTTCTGCTATTTATAGTTATATTACCTTGAAAATTTTATTTAACTTACTGTAACCGCAGTGTCTGAATCTATACAAGAGGAACACAAATGACCATACCATAGCTGTTGTGAGGATGAAATGAAAATACATGTGCATGTGCCTTACAAGATTTGTACTCAAATTAATGGAAATGGTATTAACTACATCTGGCTGAAGTGACAGAAAATTTCAGACAACAATGCCTTGTGATTATTTCCTCCTTCTGTAAATAAACACTGGAAGCAAGCAGTCCAGGGCTGGTAGTAATACCACAAAGTCACTTGAGGCCCAGCGTTCTGCTCTCAAGTTGCTCCACCATGCTACATCATGGCCCAACATGGCTACTTGAGCTCCAGCCATCACAACCATATTCTAGCGGCATAAATTAGAGAGTAGAAGAAAGGCATGTTTCTTCCCTTTAAGGACATTCAGTTGTATACACTACTTTTGTTCATAGTTCTGTTCAGAATTTTATCATGTGTTAACATGTACCTGAAAGGCAGGTTGGCAAGTGTAGTCCTCATTCCAGGTGATATCTGTAAGAATCTGGGTTTCTATTGCTAACAAAGAAATGTAGACAGATGTTAGGGTAGCCACACACTACCTTAGTCTGCCCCTGTTGCCCCCCACATTTCCATGCACACCCTCCTCATCCCCTCCCTAATGGAGTCTACACTCAGGTCTCATCCAATCATTGCATCCAGTGCAAAGCCCAAGGTTTCTGGATTCAAGTCCTGTCAAGTTCTGGCTATGGCCCTTTGTGGTGTGGTGACTAAAAAGATGAGTTATGTGTCCCTACACCCACAAACCCAGTGTTGGAAGGGGGAAAGGATAGCTCCTTGGCAGAGGTGAGGGAGGGGGCGCCTGCAACATTTTCAACAGCTTCCTCCAAACATCTTCATTATAAATCCCCTCTCTGCTTCTCCATGATCTCAACACTTTCGTGTTCTTCATGGAGGAGGAGGCGCCCAAGGGACCTAAAACAAGCTCTTAGTCAATTCCGCATGATGTCTGGCACCTTATTTTTTTTTTAATTCAAATATTCTGTTCTGCTGAGTCTATGTACAGAGGTAGAGACAGCAAGTCACGATAAAGCAGATGATCTCATGGGAGGAATCACATTTAATTGTGTTAACAGGAGAAGTAGGAAATTTGAGGGAAGAATGCTAAAGAACGGTTTGCTTTCTGTAGCTTAGCAAAAAGCTAACTTCCCAATAGTTGGTTTGCAAAGCTCTGGGGAGGGGTGATGTAGCCATTTACACAGAGTCCAAGGACCACTTGGGAGGAAGACACAAGAGTAGGAAATCTGGAGTCAGGTTTCTGGATTCAGTCCTGGTAATGTTTCAGTATCTCTGCACCTCAGTTTTCTTACCTGTACTATAAATGAGGATGCTATCTCACAGGAGTGTGAGGGCTAATCAATTAATTCATGTAAAACTAAAAATGAGGATGCAATCTCATGCCTGAGAGTTAATCAGTGAATTCATGTTAAGTACTCAGGATAGCACCTATTTAGCCAAGGGTCCAATACATATTAACATGATTATTCTCCTTAAAATTCAAAGCTAGGGATGCCTCGGGGGACAGATTAATAACTTCCTTGAAATAAAGTTACCTGGGGATCAAAAGGGGTGGGACTGCTGGTCTGGCGCTCACCGTGAGTTGCAACAAGATGAGGAGAGGGGGTTATGACTCTGTTTACATTTGGTGGACTTTCACTCTCTATGCCCAGGGTCTGGGGCTGCCTAGGAAGTCATTAATGCTTGTCCAAAGTTGGAGAATGCCTCTGTTCCATTCTACTCAATCTGGATGCATCTTGAAACATCATTCAGGGGGTGCCTGGGTGGGTTAGTTGGTTGAGCGTCCGACTTTCGCTTAGGTCATGATCTCGCTGTTCGTGGGTTCGAGCCCCGCGTCGGGCTCTGTGCTGACTGCCAGCTCAGGGCCTGGAGCCTATTTCGGAGTCTGTATCTCCCTCTCTCTCTGACCCTCCCCTGCTCACACTGTCTCTCTCTCTCTCTCTCTCCTAGAAATAAATAAATATATTACAAAAAAGAGAGAAAGAAAAGAAACATCATTCAGGTTCTGCCGACCCTCTCTGAGTGTCCTTCTTTGTTCTTGCCCCAAGCCAGTCCACACCAGGCATGGCTTTCTTGGATCACAGTCCTTACCTTGATTTACAGAAAGTTCTCAGTCTTTGATTAAGCGCTCACACAGAGTTCCCTTGGTGAGCCAGACCTCTATCCCTGAGATCCTTCCAGATGCTGTATTTTCCCCAGGGCAATCAGGCATGCCAGGAATGGTTGCTGAATGCCCCAGCTCTGCTCTGAGGCCTGGCCCCTCTCTTTTCCATGATCACACTGCTTCTAGCTTGTGACTGCATTGTCTGCTCGGTCCCCATACCATGATGACTCTCGAGTCAGTGACAGGGACCAGGCTCAAGTCTCTTTGACAAAAAGAGTCTTTTTCCAGTTAGGCCCTAGCTGAGCTCAGCCACTCCCTGCCTTCCTCAATGGGTCAGACAGCACTTCCTGGAAAATGCCATGAAGCCGCTGCCTCGCCCACAGGGAGCCTCTCCTGTTTCCTATTCCAACATTTCTCAACAGTGAGCTGCATTTCTTCTTTGTTTTAGCACCGGGTTGAATGACAGAAGGGTCCATACAGGCTCACCTTCCTGAGATGTGCCCTTTCCCATCCAATCTGAAATTCACAGCCTCCTTGAGGAAACAGTGGCCTAGCTTAGCATGTCTCAAATTATCTGTGGTGGAAGGCCACGCCTTATAACTTTCCAGTTTGTCACAGATCAGTACTTTTTGTAAAACACATTATCTATAAAGCACTAGAAAACTGAAATAGGAAAAAAAAAAAATAATAAGCCCACTGAGCATGTGCTTGAATATCACAGCAGTATCAAACTGCTAGGAATGTTTCTGGAGGGTTCCTCCTGAGCCTGGACCAGCGCTCGTCTGTGGGCCCGCGGGCGGGCCCCTGACCGGGATGGGTGCTGCTCAGAAACCCACCTGCGGTTTCAACCCAACATCTACGTCTTTTCTGGACATTTTTAGATCGTTTCCACCATGAGGCGCAAAACGAGAAAGGAGAACGGGAAACAGGCGAAGAAGGAGAAAGGCAACCAGACGAGCTCCGCAGGGAGGCCCACCCCGTGGTTTCTCCCCCAGAGCCGCTCTCTCCCCGCCTCGCCCCTCCGCCTGGGCTGCGTCCCGGCGCACAGAGCCGGCCGCTCGTCCAGCATTCCCCGCGGCGCGCCCGGGGACGCGAAGGAGCTGGCCCCGCAGGTGCGGCGCTCCGTGGACCTGGAGCTGGACAGGTGCCGGCGGCAAGCAGGCTTCGCGGTGAGCCGGGGGAGGCCGGAGGCCCCGCTCTGCGCGCCAGAGGCGGACTCGGAAGCCGAGGAGCCGCTGGAGCCCACGCAGGAGGAGTGGAGGCAGGTGGGTTGTGGCCAGGTGCTGCTGCCTGGAATGTGGCCGTCTTTGGGAGGGGCTTTGAAAAATCAGAACAAGCCTCTTCCCTCCGTGTAAATTCGGGATACTTTTCCCCACTGCCCTTCACTCTCCCCCTGCGGTTAGAACACCCCAGAAGAATCTTAGTATTTGCCCAATGACTCATGTATTTTAGAGTCATTTGAAAGGGCGCAGGATGATGTCGCTGATGGGCTCTATTGCCTAAGCAAACTTGTTTTAGTGACCTAGCATCATGGGGTAGGAAGGTAAGGCATGATTTACTGGGTGCCATTATATGATGTTTTGTATTGAGTGTGTCAGAAAGATGGTTGTTGTAGTTCAAGACCAACAGGGTTAGGTCAGTGGCTTCTGTCCTTCCCTGTTATCAAGCAACTAAAGACTTTTCCAAGATCTCCAGAGCTATGTCATTGGGCTACCCCTCGCTGCAAGGAAGTCTGGGAAAGCACATATTTTGCTAGGCACAGTGCCACCTCAAACACCTCATCAGAGTTCTGTTAGCAAGGAAGAAGAAGGAGAATGAATGAGGAGTAGGCGCTCATGTTATTTGCCTAACTAGGAGTCTGGCAGCCAAATGCAGGGCACATTTCACTGGGGCGAGACTGGCAGGGAGGCTCGTGATCCATGCGGGAGATCCATGCGGTGAGTTTGTGCAGTAGTGTTAGCAGAACGATGTGAACTTGCTGATGTTCGACCATTTTTGACCTATAAAAATGGCAGTTTTTTTATGGTTCGTCCAGTAAAGAAAAGGAATTCAGAATTCTTTAAGAGCTAAAATTAGCAGAACCGGCTAATTGATTGGATGGAGAGTGGCGAGAAAGAGGAGTCACAGCTGACTCTGAGGCTGGAAACCTCAGAGGGAGAGATGGTGAGTTTAGGCTATGTTCTCCCTGTGCTATCGATCTGGGCTTCAACATAAACTTAGAATGGAAACTTAAAAGTAAATGTAAGTCTCTCCTTTGGCAAAATCATAATGTGCTGATATTTACAAATCAAATCATTTCCCCCTTAAAAGTTCATTTAGAAAGTATTGGGTGTCAACTACCAAAATTCACCCAACTATTTCATATACGTTGTATAGATTGGCCATCAGTGTTTTCCCGAGCAGTAACAAAAGGGTGGAACTTAAATTGCTAGAAAAATCATTCAGCTCTTCTGCAAATTCTTTTTAAAGTTCTGAGGGGTGCATGGGTTGGTTGAGCATCCAACTCCAGCTCAGCTCATGATCTCATGGTTCGTGAGTTCGACCCCCTCATCGAGCTCTGTGCTGACAGCTCGGAGCCTGGAGCCTGCTTCAGATTCTGTGTCTCCCTCTCTCTCTCTGCCCCTCCCCTGCTTGCGTTCTGTCTCTCTCTCATAAATAAATAAATATTAAAAAAAATTTTTAAGTTGAAATTACTTTAAGAAATGAAGCATTTGATTGCACTTTCTCAGGACCACACCTGAGGCCTGTGAATGCTGGTTGAGAGATTATATTGCCATGCCCAGATGTCTGCATTCTCTTAGGGGCAAATGTCCAGGAGCCTGGAGCACTGGGGCTAACTGGGGACAACTGGCTCTGATCAAAGCATCTACCAGAGCAGCTCCCTTTTAATCTGTTTTATGTGTTGAGCTTTTACATAAGATTTATTTCCAAGGAAGTGGGTACAAGCTTGTCAAACAATATGCACGTATACACACTCATTCCATGAGTAATAAAAAAAAATTCTGAAACCTCAGGGATTCAAAATATAAGCACATGTCAAATATTGATTATGCAAAAAATTATTCACTTATTTTTATTCAAATATCTGTATCCTCTACCTCTCCTCCTCCTTCTGTTACTCCTTTTCCTTCTCTTCCTCTTCCTCCTCCTCTTTTCTTAGGAATGACTCTGAATCTCTGTCTAGATTTTAGGCAAGAAACTATCTCTTGGTCTCTCCAGGTGGTAGATATCCTGTGGAGTGATCCGATGGCTCAGGAGGGCTGCAAAGCCAACACTGTTCGTGGAGGAGGTTGTTATTTTGGACCTAATGTGACAGAACAGTTGCTACAGAAATACAACCTGCAATTCCTGATCCGCTCACATGAGTGCAAACCTGAAGGCTATGAATTCTGCCACAGCCGCAAGGTGGGTGGGCTACGTGCAGAAGCCCAGGGGTGGTCCATATCTTTCCTGCTAGACCCGGATGAACTCAGGCTCCCGGTTTCCCACAGTCAACTGTGTCTTGTATTTGTTATCCACTTGCTCAAAGCATCTAGGTCCTTTACTGTTATTTATCCTTGACTCTCATCGCCTCTTTACACTTCAAAATTCAACTGCTACCACCACTCACCAATACCCTGAGAGGACAAGAGGGGACAGATATTGTCCCATCTCGTGGATAGAGATATGGCCTGGCGTTTTCCCAGGCACATCTCCGTTCTGTAAGTCACATTGCTCAGTGGCACACATTTCAAACAACAGTACAGGGAAACAGGATTTCAGCACTGTGCCCCAGGCAGGGATCCAGGGTTGTGTGTCTTCTCAGGAGTATACGTATTGCCCTGTCTGATCTTCAGACATCTTAATCCTACAATGTTAGTCTAGCCCAACGCCGCTAGGATGAGAGTATTCCTACAAAAACTAATTCTACAGGAGAATAACAGATTTCTATGCAAAAAAAAAAAAAAGATAAACTAATCTAAGAAATGTTTGGTTAAACAGTTATACGAGTTTCTACTGCAGGACTTCTGAGAACCATCAGTTTCCTATATTCCTTGTAAATCTCCAAGAAGAGATACACTGTCTCCCATTTCCCAATGTATTGACAATGGAAACTCTTCCCACAGAGCATCTCAGGAGGCACAGTATTCTGTAGGAAACTCTGCTTTGAGGCCTCATGCCAGCTTTGATAACTGGCTTGCCGATTGTAATGGCCCTTCCCAATTTATTGGACCCAGCTTGCCTCTAAGTTGAACCAAATGGAGTATTTTCTATGACCTGCTATTGTACTTGGGATAAAAATGTGAAGAAAACATGTTGTGGATGTCCTATCAGAATCCAAGTTGGTATTATTGGAGTCACAACGGCTGCCCTATTAGCATTGATGCCTTTAAAAAAATTTAAAGGATCCATAGGCGAGGTCAAGGAAGGAGTGAAGCTCCTGAAATTGGGTTGGGCACATTCAGATTGAGAGTGAAGAGTTCTTCAGTGAACCTGAATACCTTTTTCTCTCTGTTTTGATTTAGGTGTTAACCATCTTTTCTGCCTCCAACTACTATGAAGTTGGTAGTAACAGAGGGGCCTATGTCAAACTGGGGCCGGCCCTGACCCCGTACATCGTGCAGTATCAAGCTAACAAGGTGACCCACATGCTGACCATGAGGCAAAGGCAAGACTTTCTAATGAATGATTTTCAGAAAATGGAGTTATGATGTTTGTGGAACCTTTGAAATGTCAAACATCATTACATGTATCTACATTCTAAGTGAAAATTCAAAATTGAGCTATGTTAGCAGTAAGGTCTACAATAGACATTCTAGCAGAGACCTCTTCCTTCTCCTCCATACACTTGAAGATCTGTACCAACCCATCAGGAATGAGAGGAACAAATTTGCTTCCTGCAGCAGTTATTCTCAATGGGCACATCTTGGGTAAAGTCCATGTACCAGGCCACTAAGTCTTTCCAGGGCCACTCTTCTGTTTTCTCTCATCCATAAAGGGTTTGTGTTACCCCATAAGCCACAGCTGAAGGTTCTTTGCTTTCAAGGGACTTGACAGATGGGTTTCAGTTCACACATTTGTTAGCAATGCCCTTTTCTCCCTGGGAAGCAAGCATATAATATTACTAAAATGGCTTCTGTTGAGATGATTCTGAGTTCTAACCTTAGTTGTGAGCTTACCACACACTTAGTGGTATTATAAAGAAGTTATATGTATTATCTAAGAATGGACTTAAGAAATTCATATGAATTTCAGTTTTATAGAGGAGATCATTAAGGAACACAGATGAAATCAGCTGCCCATGGTCACACAGCTAATACACAGTGAAGGCAAGCCTTGACACAGGCAGTCTTATTTCAGAAATCACATACTTAACGGACACGCAGACTGCCTCCTACCAGGAAGCTGACCCCAGAGTATATAAGCTGCTAACAGATACAGTTTTAGTGCTATTGAACAAGCTTCTTTAATTATCAGAGGAACTAATTAGAAATCAAAACAAAGTTGACATAAACCCAGTGGAAAGAGAACACATTAATATTTATCATCTGCCTTGTGTGAGTGCTATAAAGTGCACTATTTTACATCACTCTTGAGTTATTAAATATGAAGAGTTATTAAACACGTTATTAAAAAAATCAAGGCCAGCTTTACTCAAGAAGAAGTTTTATATGAAATTTTAAACATTAAGTGATAGTCAAACCCACTGTGCAGCAGAACAGTCTGTGGAGCTTTACAAAAACTCAACCGCCCCAGCCTCACGGCAGCCCCACCAAATTGGAATCTCCAGGGGCGGGCCCCAGGCAACTGGAACGCCATGATTCTTTACAGTGTCAGTATTGTCACTACAAAAGAAGTCACTGCAGGGAATCCTATAGAGAATATGTTTTAATAACGTGATCAAAGAGCTCTATGAGGGGGGCCTGAGTGGCTGTTAGTTAAGCATCTGACTTCAGCTCAGGTCATGATCTCATGGTTTGTGGGTTCAAGCCCTGCGCCGGGTTCTATGCTGACAGCTCAGAGCCTGGAGCCTGCTTCAAAACTGTGTCTCCTCTCTCTGCTCCTCTCCCACTTGTGCTCTGTCTCTCTCAAAGTGAATAAACATTTTTAAAAAATTTTAAACAAGAGCTCTTTGAAATATTCCTTGATTGTATTAAAGCAAGTAAACATCATCTAATATACCCAGAATTCACTTGTGTAACAACTTCAACTCCCTGGAGCTCAGTGGACACCTTAGAAGGAAGGGGGAAATGTCTCTGACCATCCATAATTGATGTCTCATTGTCCATAAACTCAGGATCATGTGTTTTTCTTAGAAGAGCCCTCATTCAGAACCCATTTACTTTGGGTTTACACCCATGTCTCACAATAATAGTTTAGCCTGCCTGGAGTTCACTTGTCAAGGTTGATTCCTAGACCTACCCTGTATTAGCTATGTGACCTTGGATTAGTGACTTTGTAATGGGCATAATATCAGACCTACCTCAGTGGATGTTGGAGGATTGAGATAATCCATGCAGAGCTCTGCATTTAGTTAGTGTTCAACACTTCCTGCTTGATGTAGAAACAGAGAGCCTCATACATCTAGGCAGTTCCGGAGACCATCACCATACTATAGCCCTGCATGATAATGATTGGTGACTACAGGTTAGCAGCAGATAGTTTAAATGCTTTGCCAGACCAGTGGTTTATTAACTTTTGGAGGGAAAGGGAGGTCCATACTTCTAACCATTGATGAAACAGTGAACTCCCTCCAGAAAAAACAAATAAGCTCATGTACCCATACAATATGGGATGAGTTTTGGTCAGTTCACACTCTCCGAGGGGTCTGTGGAATCCACTTAAGGACTATTATACTAACTACCTTAAACTGCAAGGAAAATTTTCATCAAACAGGAAGAAAACTCTGTGTGTGTGTGTACACATGTGTATAACTTTTAGCCATTGAAAAGATAGGATATCTGGTCATTTATAGAATGGCTATAAATGAGGCATGACAAAGTATATATTTACATTTATCTCTTTTTATTTACTCAACTACAGATATTTATTGAACACTTACTTTGGGCCAAGTGCTATACCCAGCATTACCCTTTTGATCCAATAAGAATGAGAAAACTAAATTAGTGTTATTTTGTTATTCTTATATATGGCCTTATGCCTATTTAACATGATAATAAATTATAAGGAAAGCACATGGTTATGTTAACAGATAACATTTACTGAGTGTTTTCAATGTGCTGTGCTTTCTTCTAAGTGCTTTATATGAATTTACTTTTTTAATCTTCACAATAATCCTATGAGGTAGGTACATTTTAAAAAAATGTTTATTTATTTATTTTGAGAGAGAGAAAGAGAAAGCATGGGAGAGGCAGAGAGACTCCCAACCATACTCTACAGTGTCAGCGCAGAGCCCAATATGGGGCTTAAACTCACAAGCAGTGAGGTCATGACCTGAGCAGAAATCACGAGTGGTTGGACATTTAACCAACTGAGCCAGCCAGGTGGCCTGAGGCAGATACCATTTTTATCACTATTTTGCCCTTGGAGAAATTGAGGTGCAGTGCAGTTAGCTAACTTTACCACAAAGGTGGACTTTTTCCAGAACTTTTGTTGTAACCACTCTGCTGCACTGGGTAGGACAGCAGTAGGTCATATTTGTGCGTGGCGGGGAGAAGTGGGAGGCTAGGGAGTGGGGGGGGGTATAAAAGATGAAACTCTTCCTTCAAAACCTGAGCTCTTCTCCCCAAAACTGAGCTCTTGGGAGGTTGAGACATTAAGAAAGAGAGAAGAGAAATGTGGTAAAAACAAAATAAAACCCCTCACTATTTCCTCTATGTTAACTTTTTAAAATGTTTGTTTTCATCTCCTGTCCCAGGATCAGCAGAGTAGAGGAGTCAGCTCTGAGGGCTCTGCGGGAAAAGTTATTTGCTCATTCCACGGATCTTCTTGGTGAATTTAAGAAACATGATATAGATAAAACTGGTAAGACCCAGCAAGTAAAATATTCATAGAAGAAGGAAGCTGACCAAAAAATCTGACTTGCAGAAGTTATCAAATCAATATTTGTTGAATTAATGATAACAAACTAATTGGGTCACCTGGGTGGCTCAGTTGGTTAAGCCCCTGACTTTGGCTCAGGTCATGATCTTGTGGTTCATGAGTTCGAGCCCCATGTTGGGCTCTGTGCTGGCAGCTCAGAGCCTGGAGCCTGCTTCTGATTCTCTGTTTCCCTCTCTCTCTCTCTGCCTCTTCCCCACTCATACTCTGTCCTTCTCTCTTTCAGAAATAAATAAATATTTTTTTGGCGCAGGGATATAGCTCAGTGGTAGAGCATTTGTCTGCAGAAATAAATAAATATTTTTAAAAAATTAAATGATAATGAACTAAGATAACCAAACGACATTCCTTGACTTTTCTTCATTTTACTCAACTTAATGTTCTAATTATCTTTTCTAAATTTTACAATTCAAAGCTTTTAACAGAATGTAAATATAGGTAAATATAGCTGGAGATAGTAAAAAGAAATGGAGTCAAGGGGAGGGTGACAAGGTCAGAACTAAGCAAAAAGCAACAGGTGGGGAGGTTATAAGAACATATCCAAGATTTGCAAAAGATTAATGATTTGGCTTTTTGTTATTTAGTGTGTATGTATCTGTTCGGTGTTCTGTTATCAAAGCTAGAAATTTTGTCTTTGCCCAACTCAGTGGAATGTCTAATAGACATTGACCACACCTAACCTTATTAGAAAATAGCAGTAACAATCATAAATGCATAGCAATATCTGTTCATATATCTAGCAACAACCAATGCTATATATGTATAGCATATATATATATATATATAATGTGTTATATAATGTGGGTATATAATGTATATATCTGTTCATATATAATCATGTATAATATCTGTATATGTATACATACATATGTATCATATCTGTTCATATACATAACAACAACCAATGCTGTGTGTGTGTGTGTGTGTGTGTATAAAGTTTTAGGATATTATTTACAGGAGTGTTGTATCACTTTTCAATTGTTTTGTCAGGTTTAGCAACTAAAAGCAGGGTGCCTAATTAAATTATAGATAGGCAACAAACAATTTTAAGGTATAATTATGTCCTGTGCAATATTTGGGCCATATATGTGGTCTGTCTGAAATTCATATTTAATTGAACATCCTGTATTCTATCTTGCAACTCCAGTGAACTCTACCTTAACCACGAAAAATAGTGACAGTGCCTATTATTTCTATTACCTACAGACAACAAGAAGTGTGTCTGGATAGAAAGGCATGCAGTCTTGGGCAGGACACTAGACTTATAGGTGACATGTCAACAAATCAGCTGTTTCCTGTAGGTTTAATCACCCTTAGTGACTGGGCAGAAGCCGTGGAGTCTGTGTTGCATCTTGGACTGCCCTGGCGGATGCTGAGGCCGCAGCTGGTGAACAGCTCAACAGACAACACATTGGAGTACAAGTCCTGGCTGGAGGACTTGGCCAAAGAACAACTGAACCATGAGGTAATGGTGCAAAAATGGTAGGTGAAGGCATATTGTGGATCATGAATCACTTTATGGAGAACTTTGAATCAGGAATAGTCAAATATTGAGAACCCAAAAAAGAAGATGGATGAGAAAAAGGAACCATTTGTTGGGTTTCTGTATGTCAGATTTTGTGTTAAGTAACTTACATATGCTGCCTCAGTTTATCATCAAAATACCTACCCCATGAGGTTGGTATTATCAGTATCATTATACCTATGAGAACACTGCTCACAGAGCTTCTAAATCATAGAACTGAGACTCAGACCCAGGTCTGTTGACTTCCTTGGCATTATTCTACTTCCCCCACTAAAATAAAGAGAAGAATTTATTCAATAAATACATATTGAATCTTAAATGTACTTTTTATTTTAAATGGCTTTATTTCAATATAATTCACATACCATACAATTCATCCATTCAAAGTATATAATTCATTGTTGTTTTTTTTAAATAGTCACAGATATGTGCAACCATCACCATGGTCAATATTAGGACATTTTCATCATGGTCTAGGTACTTCTGAAACCCTTAGGTTATTTGGTAGGCTGAAGGGGTTGGGGATAAAATATCTTCAGGTTTTTTCAACCGTATCTTATTGTCAGGGTTGATTGTGTGTTCATTATATATGAGGACAAGCCTAAACAGTAAGATATAGAAAGAAAAATGTCTTTTCTTTTGCAGAACATACAGTCAAGTTTGCTGGAAACGCTGTATCGAAACCGATCCAATCTGGAGACCATTTTTAGGATCATAGACAGTGATCATTCAGGTAAAGGCATACATTATCCTATCACTTCTAACACATCGTAAGTTTTACCTCTCACCCTTCAGTCTCCTTTCTGGTTATTTAGCTCTCTACTCAGGTACTTTGGGAGCAAAGTAAATAATGATTATGCTTATAAATGGCAGAAACTAGAAAAGTATTTGAGCAGTACAAGCAATCCATATAGAAGAGGGGTTGGGTGGAAAAGAATGAAGACAAATTGAATGAGAACTTCTCAGGAAAAGCAGTTATTAGAAGATGTGATATCCTGTATAGTCCCATCAAAAATACTCATAAAGTAATGAAGTGTCTAGAGCAGAAAGGCTTTTTACAATCTCACTCCCAACATATTCTTTTTTTTAAATGTTTTTATTTATTTCTGAGAGAGAGAGACAGCGTGAGCAGGAGAAGGTCAGAGAGAGAGGGAGGTACAGAATCTGAAGCAGGCTCCAAGCTCTGAGCTAGCTGTCAGCACAGAGCCTGACGCGGGGCTTTAACCCATGAACCATGAGATCATGACCTGAGCTGAAGTTGGACGCTTAACCGACTGAGTCACCCAGGCACCCCCAACATATTCTTTTTAAACTTCTTATTTTGGTAATTACAGATTCACAAGAAATTGTGAAAAAATGTACAGGAAGTTCTTGTGTACCCTCATCTTGTTCCCCCAGTGGCCCAAAGGCTTTTTTTCCACATCATTACTCTTTCTTCACCTATTTTTAGGTGTAATTCACATACCATATAATTTAAAATATTCAGTTCACTGATTCTTGGTATATTCAAAAGGTTGTGTAACCATCATCACCATCTAACTATAGAACATTTCATCAGCCTAAAAAGAAACCCATATCCATTAGCAGTCACTTTCCATCCTTGTCCCTTCTACACTAGCCCCTGGCAACCATTAATCCACTTTTTGTCTCTAAGGATTTGCCTAGTCTGGACATTTTGTATAAACGGAATTAAACAATATATGTGGCCTTGGGTGGCTGGCTTCTTTCACTTTGCATACTGTTTTCAAGGTTCATCCATGTTGTAGCATGTATAAGTTCTTCATTCTTTATAGCTGGGTAATATTCCACTGTATGGATATGCCACATTTTGTTTATCCACTCAACAGTTGATCAACATTTAGATTGTTTCCACTCTTTGGCTGTTATGTATGATGATACTGTGAACATTTTTGTACAACTTCTTATGTGAACATTTAGGTTTTTACTCCCTTGAATATATTCTAAGACCACAATTGCTGAATCATATCATAAAACTATGTTTTACTTTTTGAGGAACTGCCAAACTGTTTTTTACAGTGACTATACCCTTTTACATTCCTATTAAAAATGTTTGAGGGTTCCAACTTCTCCATGTCCTTGCCAACATTTGTTACTCCTCCCCATTTTTATAGCCATCCTATTGGGTGTGCAGTATCTCATGGTTTTGATTTGCATTTCCTTAATTATCCATGATATTGAGCATCTTTTCATGTGCTTGTTGGAAATTCATCTATATTCTCTGGAGAAATGTCTACTCAAATCCTTTGCCTATTTTTTTTAATTCATCTTTTTGTTGTTGAGTTATAAAAGTTCTTTATATATATGCCATTATATATATATAAAGATCTCTGCCATTAGATCTATGCCATTATCAGATCTATGGTTTGCAAATATTTTCTCCAACTTTATAGGTTGTCCTTTCACTTTTTCGGTAGTCCCCTTTGATGCACAAAATTTTTTAATCAAAAAAAGTCCCGTTTATCTTTTTGTTCCTGTTGTTTGTGCTTTTGGTGTCATGTTTAAGAAACCGTTATGTAATACATGGTCACAAAGATTTATACCTATGGTTTTCTCTAAGAGTTCTATAGTTTTAGGTCTTCCAGTTAGGTCTTTTATCCATTTTGAGTTAATTTTTTAAATTTTTTAATTGTTTACTTATTTTTGAGAGAGAGAAAGAGGAGAGAGAGAGAGTGAGCAGGAGAGGGGCAGAGAGAGGGAGACACAGAATCCGAAGAAGGCTCCAGGCTCTGAGCTGTCAGTACAGAACCTGATGTGAGGCTCAAACTCACAAATAGTGAGATCATGACCTGAGCTGAAGTCAGATGCTTAACCAACTGAGCCACCCAGGGGCCCCTTTTTTGAGTTAATTTTTGTTGGCATTGCAAGATAGGGGGTCTAGCTTCACTCCTTTATATGAGAATATCCAGTTGTTCACAACCACCTGTTGAAAAAACAATTCTTTCTCCATTGAATGGTCTTGGGACCCTTGTAAAAAAAAGTCAATTGACCATAGGTGTATGGGTCCAAAAGGTTTTTATAAGCAAAATAAATTATATATTTGGGATGACTTAATGCATGGTTTCTCGGCAGTGGCACTATTGACATGTTAACCCAAGTAATTCTTTGCTTTGGGGTCCATCCTGACTACTGTAGGATATTTAGCGGCATCCCTGGCATTTACCTACTAGATACCAGTAACATTCACCCCCACCCCGGTCATGACAATCAAAAATGTGTCCAGAAGAAGGGAAACAAAATTGCTCCCAGTGGTGATCAATTGGTTTTGTGCCACCTCCTTGGGAATTTAAACTAGATACAAGGCCTTGGTTATCTTTGCCTGTTTAACAGTAAGGAACAGGTGTCCTTGTAAGAACGTCAGAGGAAATAAACATTGAAAACTAGATTGACTCATGCAGGGCACCTGGGTAGCTCAGTCAGTTAAGCTTCTGGCCTCGGCTCGGGTCATGATCTCATGATTTGTGAATTCGAGCCCCGCATCTCACTTTGTGCTAACATAACAGCTCAGAGCCTGCTTTGGATTCTGTGTCTCCCTCTCTCTCTGCCTCTCCCCCACTCACGCTCTGTCTGTCTGTCTCTCTCTGTCTCTCAAAAATAAATAAACTTTAAAAATTTTTAGAAAACTAGACTGACTCACGGAAGTGACTTCCTCTCTTTGATAAGGGTTCATCTCATTGGACGAATTCAGGCAGACTTGGAAGCTGTTCAGCTCTCATATGAACATCGACATCACAGATGAGTGCATCTGTGACCTTGCACGGAGCATTGACTTCAACAAGGATGGCCACATCGACATCAATGAGTTCCTGGAGGCCTTCCGCCTTGTGGAGCAGTCCTGCTCAGAGGGCAATGCCTCAGGTCGCCCACAAGCCACAAACACTAATGACGGTGCTGCAGCAAACCAGGCACACACTAAGAACAGCCTGGTGTCCATCGCCCATGGTGCCTCATAACCAATACTGCACTTGTCGCTGGAATGGCTCCTTTATTCTCCGTAGATATGTGGAATTCTATGCTGAGAATTTGCCTACTAATGTGCATCAGAATCACCTATTTGGGTGTATGTGGTATGTGTGTGTGTGTGTTTAAATATATCGGTAACCCATCCCCAACTCAGAAGTTTCACAAGGTAAGACCCAGTTATAAATATTTTTAAATTCTGAAGTCTACCCCAATTAAGAACCACTGATAATTCAATCCCCGCATTGTTTTCATTTTATACCTTTAACTTACTGTTTTCAAAATGTTGTATTGAGGGACACCTGGGTGGTTCAGTTGGTTAAGGATCTGGTCTTGATCTCAGGGTCATGAGTTCAAGCCCCAATTGGGCAATGCACTGGGCATGAAGCCTACTTAAAAAAAATAATAAAACAAAACAAAATGTCTTATTTTTTTTTTAATGTTTATTTATTTTTGAAAGAGAGAGAGTGGAGGAGGGACAGAGAGAGACAGAGAGACAGAGCATCCCAAGCGGGCTCCATCAGCAGAGAGCCTCATGCAGGGCTGAACTCATGAACCAGGAAATCATGGCCTGAGCCAAAGTCGCATGCTTAACTGACTGAGCCACCCAGGTACCCTTATTTTTTTTTATTATTAAATTTTATTTATTTAGTTTGAGAAAGAGAGTGAGCATAAGTGGGGAAGGGGCAGAAAGAAAGGGAGAAAGAGAATCCAAAGCAGGCTCTGCACTGTCAACAGGGAACCCTATATGGGGCCTGAACCCAGGAACCGTGTTCGTGACCTGAGCCAAGAATTGGATGCTTAACTGATGGAACCACCCAGATGACCGAAAAATGTTTTACTGATAAAGGAAAATTACGAAAAATTGTTTATACAATCCCATGACTCCAACATATATTGTTTTCATTATTTACTTTTTCTTGTTATAACTATAGATTTTATATAATTTAATATTCTGCTTTTTAAAAAAATAAATTCATATCTAATTGTAAATATTTTCCTGTGTTGCTACAGAGTACTCATGATTATCAGTTTAATGACTGCATAATTTTCTTTCAGATGGGTCAACTATACTTTGTTTAGCCATTTTCCAGTTGTTAATCATGTGCATTGGTTTTAGTTTCCCATTATTATAAATAACACCATGGTTAATAACTTAGTGAAGATAGCTTGTTTTGTGAAAAGTCTTTTGAATTATACATTCCTTAAGATAAATCTGAATGGATTACTTTGTCAAAGGGTACTGTATTAGTTTATAGAAAGATGTGCTACAAAGAATTGGCTTACCTGATTATGGGGGCTGAGAAATCCCGAGACCTGCACTGCAGTAGGCAAAGCGGACATGCAGGAGAGCCAATGGTGTGGTTCCAGCCTAGTCTGAAGGCCTAAGTACCAGGGAGGCCAGTGGTTTAAGTAACAGTCTGAGTCTAAATCCAAAGGCAGGAGAAGACAGATGTCTCAGCTCAAAGAAAGTCAAGCAGAGAGAGAGAAAGAGAATTCTTTTTTATTCAGCCTTTTACTCTATCCAGGCCTACAATGAGTAAGATAAGGTCCACCCACATTAGGGAGGGCAATTTGCTTTACTCAGTCTGCCAATTCAAATGTTTACCTTGTCAGGTATACTGAGAAATAACACTTAACCAAATACCTGTTACCCCATGGTCAAGCTGACACAGGAATGAACATTTTTTTAAAGTATTATTTATTTTGAGAGAGAGTGAGAGCAGGGAAGGGGCAGAGAGAGAGAGAGAGAGAGAGAGTCCCAAGCAGACTCAACTTGGATCACGAACTGTGAGATCATGACCTGAGCCATAATCAAGAGTTGGATGCTTAGCCAATTGAGCTACCCAGACATCTCTGGATGTGAACATTTTAATGGAATCTTGCTTTTTAGGACTGAGCACACCTATAAACATGTGAGCTTTGAGTGCCATCATTTGTAATTTTTGTTGAAGGTGAATGATGGTATTTCAATGCTATTTTAATCTATACTTCTTAATTAGTATCTCCCCACCTCATTTTATTTTTTTATTTTTTTTTAATATTTTTATTTATTTCTAGGAGAGAGAGAGAGAGACAGCGTGAGCAGGGGAGGGTCAGAGAGAGAGGGAGACACAGACTTTGAAATAGGCTCCAGGCTATGAGCTGGCAGTCAGCGCAGAGCCCGATGCGGGGCTCGAACCCACGAACCGCGAGATCATGACCTAAGCGAAAGTCGGACGCTCAACCGACTTAGCCACCCAGGCGCCCCAAACACCTCATTTTATTTTTAAAGTAAGGAAATTGAAGTCCAGAAGACTAGCTGGGTAAATGATCTAGTTAATGATGCAGCCAGGACCAGAACCCATGATCCTTGCTCCATCCAGTGTTCTTTCCAGTTTTTCCAGGACTATGTCATCTCTTTGGTTTGACTGTAAGCTAGCCCTGATTCTCCTGTCCTTTTACTTGTGTAGCAAACAGTGTCTAAAGTGACCCCTGCCCTCAATGATTTCCTGCCTCCTGGTGTTCATGCCTTCATGTGATGCTTCCCAGTGAAGGCAGACAGGAGCTGTGACTTGCTTCTAACCAATAAAATATGTCAAATATGATGGGAGTTAATCCTGTGATTACATTACTTCTATAAAACTTTTTGTTAGTAGACTGGAACAAAAGATCCTCCTTGCTGGCCTGATGAAGTAACTGGCTATACTGAAGGAACCCACATGGTGAGGAACTATGCGTGGTTCGTAGGACCTTCAGATGGCTTCCAACCGGTGACGACAAAAAGCCATGGTATTCAAACACAGAGCTCTACGGAAACAAATTTTAGCTTGGGAGCAGAATCTTCCAAATGTAATTGACCCTCCAGGTAGAAATACAGCTGGCCAACAGCTTGGCTGCACGCGTGTGAGACCTTGAGCTGAGGACATGGTGAAGCCACGCCCAGACTCCTAGCCCACAAAAACCATTAGGGAATACATGTGTGTTGTTTTAAGCCATTTCGTTTATGGTCATTTGTTCCACAGCATAGAAAATGAACATAACTTGCTTCTTGGAAAACTTTTTTTATTTTCTTATTCCACTACTTTAGAAAAGTCTGCATTTCCACTAGTGAGTTCAGTCCAGAGAAGAGTTAAGACAGCTTAGTGAATACACATGACCCTTTTGTTTATCTTGTGTGAATTAGTAACTAAGAAATCAAGTAGACTAGTGAATTCATGTTTATATCTGTCTGACACATTTGTGCAAACAGTTCAAATTCAACAAATCAAGTGCTTGTTACCTTCATGTCATTTCATGACACCTTCTCACTTGAAATATTCTGAGTCTTCAAAAGAATAACTCTGAAAGAGAAAAAAAAGAATAACTCAGTGACAATGAGGTGGAGCTTTGGGGATTTACTCATATATAGGAACATATGCCAGAGAATGGCGCATGAAGACGCTCTTTCTCTAAACTAAGGGGTTTATGAAGGCAAAGGCCACAAGGTTTCACAAGTGATGGGTCAGTTTAAACAAGTGCTTGGCTTGTCGATCCAGAATTGGTTGACTGCTAAACCCAAAAGTCCTTTCCTGAGTCTAGATAGCACAGCACAGAGTCCTATCAGGCTGTTCTGCTTATTCTGGCCAGTTTTCTGGGAAGCGGTTGCTCTGGCTCCTTCTTCAGGGGTGCTCACTGTTTGCTATCTTACACTCTTTGGCTCGCTGTCCCACACTGGGCAAGTCCTATGTGCACACGCAGGGCTCAGAAAAAAATTTCCTTTCTTCATTCACATAGTGAATTAATAGGGAGTTGGTTTCAAGGGGGTTTTAACTTAAAAGGAATTTTTAAATTATTCTAGGAAGAAAGAGCAAAATCATGCTTCCTATCCAGTGATGTGGCCTTAACTGCTAATTAAAATCATTTAGGGAGCTTTCAAAACATAGGATGCCTGTGGCCCTGCTCCACATGGATTAAATCAAAATATCTGGGTAAAAGGCCACACTATAGGTATATTTTAAGTGTTCCTCAGGTGATGGGGTGCCTGGGTGGCTCAGTTGGTTAAATGTCCCACTTTGGCTCAGGTCACAATCTCACGGTTTGTGAGTTCGAGCCCTGCATCAGGCTTGCACTGACAGCACAGAGCTGGCTTGGAATTTTCTCTCTCTCCCTCTCTCTGCTCCTCCCCTGGTTGTGCGCTCTCTCTCTCTCTCTCGCTCTCGATCTCTCTCTCTAAGATAAATAAATAAACTTAATTAAAAAAAATGTTACCCAGGTGATTCTAACATTCAGCCAGGCTTGAGTCCTGCTGAACTAATTGGTTTATCCTGCTATAGTGAAGGGTGGTTATTTGGTAAGACTTTAACTGCTTTTTACATTAACTATAAGTATGAGAGGCCAATTCAGAAACCTAACAATTTAGATCTAAGACGAGGAAACTGTAAATACCTCCATGTAGTATTAACCGACTTATGGAGACAGACCAAACACAGAATTCACTTGGAGGTTTAATAGGCATTCAAAAGTTAACATTTACAATGTTAATTCCCCCCAAAATCTGTCTTATATTCCCCCCAAAATTGGTTCCTTTTCTGATCTTTGCAATCTGATTACATGTCAATTTCATCCTACCAATTAAGTTTTGCAAAAAACAACAACAAAAACAAAAACTTGATTTCTTTTTCTCACTTCCCACATCCAATCCATCAGCAAATCTTGTTGACTCTGCCTTCAAAACATGCCCAGAATTGAGCCTCCTCTGATTCCTCCATTGCTATCTCCCTAGTCTAAGCAATATTATCTCTTGCCAGTCTCCCCACCTTCTCCATTATTTATGTTGCAGTGATCACAGGACCCTTTTACACTGTTAAGCATTGCTGAAGATACCAAAGAGATTTTCCTTATGTGGGTTATATCTGTCAATGTTTATTAGAAATTGAAACTGAAAAGTATTTAAGAAACTTATTAAAAATAACAATATATCTATTAAATGTTCACCTAAGTAACATGTTTTTAAACTTTTTATTTTGAACTAATTATACACTGTAAGAATTTAAATAAAGCAGAGAGATCCCATGTTCCTATCACCCAGCTTTCTACTCTT